AAATTCCAATTATTTGCTATTTCCGTTCATTTTCTTTGCAGAGGTTGCACATACTGAAATGAAATTTTGTATACAGATTTATCATAAAATATGTAGGTCAAGTTCTGTTTTGGGTACGATCAAGCAATTTTTGACAGAGTTATGCCCCTTGGACTTCACATACTGAATTGAAATTTGGTATACAGATTAACCGTAAGAATATCTAGGTCAAGTTCTGTTTTGGGTACGATCAAGCAATTTTTGATGGAGTTATGCCCCCTGGACTTAGGAAAATTCCAATTATTTGCAGTTTCTGTTCATTTTCTTTGCAGAGGTTGCACCTACTGAAATGAAATTTAGTATATAGATTTATCATAAAAATATGTAGGTCAAGTTCTGTTTTGGGTACGATCAAGCAATTTTTGACAGAGTTTTGCCCCTTGGACTTCGGAAAATTCCAATAATTTGCACTTTCCATTCATTTTCTTTGCAGATGCTGTATATACTGAAATGAAATTTAGTATACAGATTTATCATAAAAATATCTAAGTCAAATTCTGTTTTTGGGTATGATTGAGCAATTTTTGACAGAGTTATCCCCCTTGGACTTCAAAAAATTCCATTTATTTGCAGTTTCCATTCATTTTCTTTGCAGAGGCTGCACATACTGAAATGAAATTTGGTGTAGGGTGAATTCACCATACATCGGACACCCTCGCACTTCAACAAGTTCTAGCGATGTCGCTACCGACCGAATATTATCAAAATGGAACTTAACATGTAGTATGTGTTTAAAATATAAATTTTTGACACAATCGTGTGCTATTTATTGAGAAAATATCATTTAAACCCTATTTTTAGCTCTTCTGAGCCAAAGGCTCAAAGAGCTAATGCTATGGCCATTTGTGCGGTGTGCGTAAACTTTTTAGAATATGGGCCATAACTCAAGAACCCCTTGGCCAATTATTGTCAAATTTGTCACAGGGTATCCTTGGCCCAAGGGCTCCCTTTTATACTAAAACTAGGGTTGTGACCCTTAAACAAGGGGAGATAATTAGGAAAATAGAAACAAAAGTACTAGTTGCTAAAAAATCTTCTTCTCAAGAACCACTGGGCAGATTATCACCAAACTTACACAAAAGGATGAGGATATGTTGTAAATTAAAAATTGCACGGGGATTTACCCTTGGGCAAAGGGTGTGGTCTCAAGGTCACTTCAAAAGTGACCAAAAATTACTTTTTATTAAAATGTTGATATTTTGCTTACTGTAAGGACTAGGATCATCAAATCTTATCAGTTGATGCATCTAAGGACCTCATATCATGTTGACTCAAAATTAGGTAAGGGTGACCTACTTTTTAAATTTTGCGGCCATTCTTTTTCAAAATGATTTAGAAGCATATTTTGAACAGTTTAAGGCGTATGATCATCAAACTTTGTCAGTTGATGTATCTTGGGTCCTCAAAGTACGTCAACTAAAAAGTAGGTCACCTTGACCTACTTTTTGAACTTGATGGCTAATCTTTTTCAAAACAATTAAGGTCATTAATTCGAATACCGAGAGGTTTAGAATCATTAAATCTTGTAAGATGATGCATCTTGGGGCCATAAAACATATTTATTAAAAAGTAAGTCACAGTGACCTACTTTTATAACTTTGCAGACATTTGATTTCAAAGCGTTTTAGAGGCATAATTTGGACATTTTAAGGCTTATGATCATAAAACTTTGTAAGTTGATGCATCTTGGATCCTCAAAAAAGGTCAACTGAAAAGTAGGTCACCGTGTCCTACTTTTTAATTAATATAACTATAATTAAATATTTCAGGTACTAATTGGCTTAGAATCATCAAACTTTGTCAGTTGATGCATCTTGAGTCTACGGAGTAGGTCGACTAAAAAAGAAGGTCACTGTGACCTACTTTTTAACATTTATGGCTTTAATTAAATATTACTGGTACTTATTGGCTTAGAATCATCAAACTTTGTCAGTTGATGCATCTTGGGTTTTTGGAGTACAACAACTGAAAAGTAGATCACCGTGACCTACTTTTGAAAAATTATGGCTTTAATTAAGTATTTTGGATACTTATTGGCTTAGAATCATCAAACTTTGTCAGTTGATGCATCTTGGGTATTTGGAGTACAGCAACTGAAAAGTAGGTAACGGTGACCTACTTTTAAAATTTTATGGTTCTATTTAATATTTTCGGGTACTATTTGGCTTAGAACCGTCAAAATTTGTCAGTTGATGCATCTTGGGTCCTCAGAGTAGGTTGACTGAAAAGTAGGTCACCGTGACCTACTTTTGAAAATTTATGGCTTTAATTAAATATTTTGGGTACTAACTGGCTTAGAATCATCAAACTTTGTCAGTCGATGTATCTTGGGTTCTCGGAGTACAGCAACTGAAAAGTAGGTCACCATGACCTACTTTTGAAAATTTAGGGCTTTGATTAAATATTTTAGGTACTAATTGGCTTAGAATCATCCAACTTTGTCAGTTGATGCATCTTGGGTCCTTGGAGTACAACAACTGAAAAGTAGGTCACTTTGACCTACTTATAAAATTTTATGGTTATAATTTTAAAAAATATTTCAGGTATTAATTGGCTTAGAATCATCAAACTTAGTTGATGGGTCCACGGAGAATGACAAGTGATAAGTAGGTCACCACGACCAACTCTCAGGTATTAATTGGCTTAGAATCATCTTGGGTTCTCAGATTGTGAATTGGAATTTCAAGGGTTTATCTAAATATACAGGATACTTAGAGGCTTCAAATAGAATTGATAGGTTGTACAGTTTTTCAGAAGAGCAATTCAAGGCCCTTGGGTCTCTTGTTTTGAAATAAGTCAGAATTCACCATGGATCAGACAACATTCACCATGCATCGGTCATGCGGTATTTAAACCAGAAAAATATCATACCTTGATCTCGGTGCTTTAAAATTAATGATATCAAAACATTTTTATCTTTTATTAAAAAATTATACTTCTAGTTATATTTGAATGACTATTTCGATCCACAAATGTGAAGAGATTTTAGGTGCAACACATGGCCTTAGAAAGGCTTTACAATGCTAGTAATATGGCAACTTGTGCCTTTGTCTCGTGGGTTATCATCATCTAGTTTAAAGAAATAAATTGAGTCCACTTCTAGTCATCATATATCGATATCTTGTATTTTCACTTAAAATTTAGAGTTTTTATTTTCTATTTCCATAAAAACAGCTGTCATTTGGGTTTTATATGAAAATGGAGGTGATTACCCATGCATCGGAAAGTGTCTGATGCATGGTTAATTTGTGTCTGATGTACGGTGAAATAAACATACTATAAACATTGAAGTAAAATTTTTGAAAAATTTCTGTAAAATTATCAATCATTGACAAATTTTACCTAGGTCCAACTCGTTCCATTGAAGTCTATTTAAAAAAGTGACATCTCTAAAATTTGCAAAATCGTAATATTCTGGTTATTCTCCTTTGATTGATGCAAAATATGACGTAATTTCAAGGCCATTTCTGTGATATTTTTATGAAAATAAAAATTGGCATCATTCAAAAGTTTAAATCTTCACCTTTAAGACAGAAACAAGTAAAAACACAGTAAAACACAGGTTCAATGAGAGTCTATTGCTTAAAGTTGTCCGAAGCAAGGTATGTGTCCAATGCATGGTTAACTCACCCTACAGATTTATCATAAGAATGTCTAGGTCAAGTTCTGTTTTGGGTATGATCAAGCAATTTTTAAGAGAGTTATGCCCCATGGACTTAGAAAAATTCCAATTATTGGGGGGGGGGGGGGCATACTAGTAAGTGTTTCACAAACATCTCTTGTTTTGTTTTTGACATAACAACACAGTATTAATTCAGAGTTATGTTTTATGTGTCAAAACAATGCTGTCAAATGATTTTGAAAATTATTAGTTTATTTGTATAACATCTAAAAATTTACATGTAAATAGAATAAATAAATCATAATGCTAATAAATCTACCTATGTTTATAATTTAGAAGAAATAGCAGTTCTGTTCACATAAGAGAAAACCCAGCTTGCTGTCACATGAGAGCTTTGCCTTTGTTTGCAGTGTCACTGTTCATCAGAATAAACAGAGCTGAAGATTGGGAATTTGTGTCATGACCATTTGATAAAAATGTGATGTACTGTTTGTTCTTATAAATAATTATAGCATTGACATTAGGAAAAAAGAATCATTGAAAGCTTGGAATCAAGATTGACCTGATTCTGTTCCACACACATCTGTTTATGATAAATAAACAATAATTGATGGGGGGGGGGTGCCATTATACCCCAGATTGAGGATTGAGGAGTAGGGGATAAACCTTACTTCCTTCAGTTACACTTGAGGGTAGCCATCTCTTATCTGCAACTTCTCTTACAGAACTGAATGCAATTAAGTGAAACATTCATGAAATCTTTATTATGTAGTGGTATTTTGAGTCTTCTATTTTACATTTTGATTGGACACATATTTGGGGTTAAATGGACACTGCCATTATTTCTATATTATTGGGGGGTACCCATCTCTTATCCACAACTCTTCCTATACAACAAAATAAAATTTAATTAGACTTGCACAGAATCTTAATTATTACATATTGCCATTGTACACCTCCAATTTTTAACATTTCAATTGTACAGATATTTCCAATAGAATATCGGTCATATACTTGGACAGATATTGATATGATTTTTCCCATGGACTTTGCCATTATACTTGATTAAAGGAGTACCCTTTTTGTTGACGCAACTCCTAATGAACCCCTGAATGAAATTCATGGAACTTTTACAAAATTTCATTTACATACTGCCTTGAAATGTATTTTGCTATTTTACTCATATGGGAGCAGGGGGTATCATTTTAGTAGTTCAGTGCTCACAGCACCTCTAGTTTTTCAGTCTGTTTAAAAGAAATGATATCATAGTAAGAAAGCACTTCATAGAATACATTTTACATTTCCTTTATTTTATCCATTGTATGTTGATATTTTTTAGGTATCTGAAGCCATTATAGAAGAAGAGGATGAGATTGTGAATGTTGAAAGAAATATTGATGAAATTGATGACCAAATGTAAGTGAAGTAAAATATGGATCAAATTAAAATTATAGAGATATTCATATACATGTACCATTTTTGTTGAAGTGGTGGTGGGGGGAGGGGGGGGGGGGGTACCCAGAAAATAATTGAGTGCATGAGTAAAGAGATATACATGTAGTGCACTTAGTATACCAAATGACCTACAATGTAGTGTATTCACAAACATCCAAAATATTCCATTATTTGTTGATATTAAATAAATCTAGCTATAAACAAATACAGATTATACCAGTATCTGGCATAAATAGTCATAATTATCTCATTAGGCCAGCATTTTTAGCTCACCTCAACGAAGTTGGGGGAGCTTATGTAATACCCTCGGCGTCGGTGTCCCAGGTTAAGGTTTTTGGAGCAGTTTTCTTTTCAAGTACTTCTATGGCCTATATTAGTCAGAGCTGCATGGAGGATGCTTCTAGTGTGTTTTATTGTACCAGTCAAGGTTTCAGATGCTGCAATTTCAGCTAAAGAATGACCAGGTTAATGTTAATGTTTTTGGAGCAGGTTAATGTTTTTGGAGCAGGTCTCATTTCCAAGTAACTATAAGCCCTATATTGACCAAACTTGCATGGATGATACATCTAAGGATGCACACTACTGGACTTGCTTCGGATGCTGGATCTGACCTATACTTTCCGGATGAGTGACCAGGTTAAGGTTTTTGGAGCAGATCTCATTTCCAAGTAACTATAAGCCCTATATTGACCAAACTTGCATGGATGATACATCTAAGGATGCACAAATAAAATGCTGACGACTTTGTTGCACAATGACATGTTGGTGAGATAATTATGTATCTGTAAATGACGGTATTCAAAAGTAACTGCACGTAAATTATTTCCTCCCACAGGTTAAAAATTGCCCATGGCAGCTATAGCCAGAGACATTGTTAAGATCTCTGTAATAGCCTAAAATATAAGCAACATTCTGTAGAAAAGGATCGCTTATGCATCAGATGTATGGAATGAATAAAACTATGGGTGTAGTGAAGTCCATTTGAAGGTGAAATAAACAATAGCCTACAGAAATGAAATATTTCAATTATTAAAGAAAACAAGTATATACCAATATATACAGGCATATAGTATCGTTTTGAATGTGGCAGCCAGAAAAATTATTTTACACTTAATTGAAGAAATTTTTATCCCCTCCCCAATACTCCCTGTCTGTTATATGATAGGAATATTTACCTAAGGTCTCGAGGATTTTTTAAAACAATTTCTACACATTCATGTAACACATATTATTAAAAAATGAAGATATACATATATTAAAAGAGTTTTAAAAATTTGATTTTTTTTAATTTGTATTTTGACTAACATCTCAAAATTTATATCACTGCATGGCCCCAACTGGCAGACAATGAAATAAACAATTTAAGGTTCTTCCTTCCTATTTGTAACCATTGTGTGACAAGGAGCCTGTTAGGAGAGTATAAAAAAGAAGCAAAAATGAATGTACAAAAGTTGATAATTTATACACAAAAAAAAAATTTTTAATTTCCTCCTCCTACTGGACTTCTTCATTCTGGTGTTCGTAAACCTAAAATTAAAAAAATGCTGGCCCAAACAAGATCAATAAAATTTACAGAATTTGTATGGGATATAAAACTTAAGATTTATGTATTTGAACCAACCTAAACCAGAGACACCTTGAAGGGGTTGTTTTCTTTTGATATCATAGTTTACTGTTATATATTAAAGTCATTTTGGTTTAACTTGGTCTTTATATTAAAAATTCATTATAAATCTCAGTTATCCTATTTTCCTACAGACTCTAATATATGGGAAAAATCTTTTAAAATCTTCTTCTCAGAAACAGCAAAGCCCTGATCGGTCATATTTATATGGAAGCATCTCCAGGTAGTGTGGATTCAAATTTATTCAAATCATGACCTCCTGGGGTAGGATGGGGCCACAATGGAGGATCAAAGTTTTACATAGAAATATATAGGAAAAATTTTAAAAATCTTTTTCTCAGGAACAGCAAAGCCCTGATTTATCATATTTATGTGGAAGCATCCTCAGGTAGTGTAGATTCTATTTTGTCCATATCATGACCCCCGGGGTAGGGTGGGGCCACAATGGAGGATCAAAGTTTTAAATAGAAATATATAGGAAAATATCTTCTTCTGAAGAACTGCAAAGCCATGATTAGTCATTTTGATATGGAAGCATCCTCAGGTAGTGTAGATTCAAGTTTGTTAAAATGATGACCCTGGGGATAGAGTCATGCCACAATGCAGGATTAAAAATTTTACATAAGAACATATAGGAAAAATGTTTCTTCTCAAGAACAGAAAAGCTATGTTTAATCATATTGATTTGGAAGCATCCTCAAGTAGTGTAGATTCATGTTCTTTCAAATGATGACCCCTGGGATAGGGAGGAGTCACAATGGGGGATCAAATTTTTACAAAGGAATGTATGGGAAAAATTATTTAAAATCTTCTCAAGTACAACAAAGCCATTTGTTATATTGACATGGGAGCATCATCAGGTAGTTTAAAATTCAAGCCCCCCCCCCCCCCCCCCCCGGTAATCTTTTCAATACTGAACTGATTTGTGCTTTTGCCAAGCCAATGTGCTCAAGTGAGCGATGTGGCCCATGAGCCTCTTGTGTTTGAGGACTCCAGTTCAAGCCCCCCAAATTCCAGATTTGTTTTGGATTAATGATAGTTTTTAGTACCTTTTTTAGCTCACCTGAGCCAAAGGCTCAAGTGAGCTTTTCTGATCAAAATTTGTCCGTTGTCTGTCGTCGGCGTCGTTGTCATCGGCGTCGTTGTCGTCGTAAACTTTTCACATTTTCATCTTCTTCTCCAGAACCACTGGGCCAATTTCAATCAAACTTGGCACAAAGTATCCTTGGGTAAAGGGGATTCAAGTTTGTTCAAATGAAGGGCCACTCCCCCCTCAAAGGGGAGATAATTACGAAATAGCAAAAAATTAATGGCATTATTGAAAAATCTTCTTCTCAAGAACTAATGGGCCAGGAAAGATGAAACTCATATGGAATTATTGTCAGGTAGTGTAGATTCAAATTTGTTCAAATCATGACCCCGGAGGGTAGGGTGGGGCCACAATGGACGATCAAAGTTTTACATAGGAATATATAGGAAAAATCTTCAAAAATCTTCTTCTCAAGAACAGCAAAGCTATGATTGGTCATATTTACATGGAAGCATCCTCATGTGGTGTAGATTCAAGTTTGTTCAAATCATGACCCCCGGGGGTAGGGTGGGGCCACAATGGACGATCAAAGTTTTACATAGGAATATATAGGAAAAATCTTCAAAAATCTTCTTCTCAAGAACAGCAAAGCTATGATTGGTCATATTTATACGGAAGCATCCTCATGTGGTGTAGATTCAAGTTTGTTCAAATCATGACCCCCAGGGGTAGGGTGGGGCCACAATGGACGATCAAAGTTTTACATGGGAATATATAGGAAAAATCTTCAAAAATCTTCTTCTCAAGAACAGCAAAGCTATAATTGGTCATATTTATACGGAAGCATCCTCATGTGGTGTGGGTTAAAGTTTGTTCAAATCATGACCATCAGGGGGTAGGGTGGGGCCACAATAGACGACAATTAAAGTTTAACATAGGAGAATATAGGAAAAATCTTCAAAAATCTTCTTCTCAAGAACAACAAAACCATGATTGGTCAAATTTATATAGAAGCATCTGCAGGTGGTGTAGATTCAAATTTGTTCCAATTATGACCCCTGGGGGTAGGGTGGGGCCACAATGGACAATCAAAGTTTTCATGGAGTATATAGGAAAAATCTTCAAAAATCTTCTTCTCAAGAACAGCAAAGCTATGATTTGTCATATTTATTTGGAAGCATCCTGAGGTGGTATAGATTCAAGTTTATTCAAGTCATGACCCCCAGGGGTACAGTGGCTGCAACGTTATTGTTGACAAACCAATCGTGTAGAATCGTTCGTGTAACGTGCGTGATCGTTCGTGTAACGTGCGAGATCGTGCGTGTATCAGACTCAATCGTTTGCAGTTTTAATCGTGCGTGATCGTGCGTTAAGAAACGTGTCAATTTCGTTTTGTAAGTTTTTATCGGAATGTTATTTGTTATACAAGCATTTCTCTTGTCTGTTTTTTTTTTTTTCAATCCAAATAAAATAAATGAAGAGTGATTGACATAATTAAAAGCAGTACGAACTAATTATCGCTTGGAAATAAGCAATATAGTAAGTCGTACAATATTGTGTTCTCGTCAAATAGCGTAATTTTTTTTGTGATAAACCGTACTTAGATGATTAAGGATTTTTTTTTCTCTGATGTTAATTATGTTTACTGCTAATTATGGTCAAGAAATTTTTAAAATCAATAGATCAAAAATAGATAATTTTACAAATAAATAAATAAACAACTCTCAATGCTGACATAAATATTTAGTCGGCGAATGTACATGTACATGTATACGACATGATTGTCGGGATTTCGTTTCTCAGTGTTTATCTCTGGAGCTTAATTTTAATTATTTTTATAATTTCTGCAAATAAATGTTTTGTAAAATAATTGTTGATTTAAGAGATTCGCAAATGGAAACATGGATATTACATAATTTAATTCATTTTCATGTCATTTTTTCAAACTTATCTCTTTCTGCATATTATGAAATCCAATTCAATCAAAACTCACAATCCACCTACATGTACATCTTCTGATAGAAAAAAAAAATCAGTTTTCTTAAGTCGGAGAATTACTTAAATAATTATTTGTTATTTGTAATCTAGAATAATTAATAAGTCTTACATGAATTTGGTTCCAGAAATATCCATTTCTATTTTTTTTTTATTTTTTTTTCATTTTTCAAAGTCGATGAAATAATATCAATAATTATTTGCAAACTAAAATAAGTATTCAGCCTTATTTCGTTTTGAAAATATCCATTCCTAAAGAATTTGAACTATTTTGCGTGAAGAATCGTGCGTTTGCGTTAGCAATCGTGTAAG